CAAAGCCCTCAACGTCTACCAGAACCCTCAACATCCAGCAAAACCCTCAATGTCCAGCAGAACCCTCAACATCCAGCAGAACCCTTGACGTCCACCAGAACCCTGTGTCCACCAGAACCCTCTCACAACTAGAACGGCTGCCACTAAAACACATTTCACAAGAGAGAGAAAACCTTTTTTTTTCTGCTTCACTACAAACTGATCCAGAATTAGAGTCTTTATCTCTTTAGAAAGTTATTAAACCTACTTCACTTCACCACATTTATTCTGTTTGGCATCAAACACTCTCAGCAGGTTTGAGTCCGACACCAGGACCAGAACCAGAACTGTTCAGGTCCTCACATGTTTAGACGCTCAGATAGACATTCTATCAGCCTGCTTCAGGTCCACACTCAGGTGGGCGATGGCTAAACAAACACTTTCACAACAGTTTCCAGCCTCTGTGTGTGTGTGTGTGTGTGTATGCGTGTGTGTCTGTGTGTGTGTGTGTGTGGAAAAACATGCAAAAGAAAAGTGCAAATATGGGAAAAAAGATTATCTGTGAGTTTGTTCCACTTCCTGTCTGTCAGGATTGAGGAGCACAGACGGAGTGAAGCTTACATTCTGCTGCTCAGGGCGTCGATGGGACGTCCGAAGTGAGGAACCGGAGAGCAGAGCAGGAAGACGGCGAAGCACCACTGCTGGAGGGTTCTCCTGGAGCAGAACATGGTGCTGCAGAGAAACACAGTAAACACACCATCAGGCTGTTTGAAATGATTCGAACCACTCCAACATGTTCCACAGCAGAGTCCTCACGAAGCCACAACAGAGCTGGAAAAAGGCTGAAGGGAGGAGAAGAAGAAGAAGAAGAAGAGGAATTAACAGGGAACTTACTTTCCCTCAGCAGCGTCTCACCCACACGGTAAAAACAGATAATTCACTTTTGACCTTTTTTTTCAAACTTTCCCAAATAAAGACACAATCCAGGTGATCGCACCTCAGGTAAAATATTTAAAAAACAGTCATCCAGCAGCTCCAGGTGTTTCTTTATGTTCCTCAGAGTGAGCAGAAGAAGAAGAAGACGTCCTCCAGGTGTCCTCCGGTTAAAGGTGAGGCAGCTCTGCTGCTACAGGTCGTTCTGATGAGAACTTTTGCTGCACGCTGCCTGAGGAGGTGAGAGGAGGAGAGAAGGGGAGGAGTCACTAACAGGGAGGAGGAACCTCTATCACGTCTGTCTGCCCACCCACTCAGAGAGAAGAAGAAGGAGAAACGGCAGGAAGGTGGCACTCGAGCAGCACACAGGGAGTCTGCTGAAACCACAGCTGGAGCTACGGAGGTCAGTTAGTGCCAGAAACACACTGTGTGTCTGTATGTTAGAGGAGTCCAGGGTTTAATAGTTTATGTATCAATTCATGCTTCAAAGATATCAAAGAAAATCACATCTACAGTAAAACATGACGAAAAGCAAAACTAAAAACCTGAATAAAAGAAAACCAAAACAAAGGCGACCAAGTTAAAATGTGAAGAAACCCAAAGATGACAAACTCTGTGACTCATTCTTATGAGATCACAACTGGAAGATGTACGAGGTTTCATTAGTGCCACAACTACTGTACATTCACTGTCTAAATTATAGTGTCAGGAATATGAAATCATGTTTGGAAGGTGAGACGACAACAACAAAGAAAATTATATTTACAGAAGATGAAGAAGCAAAAAACATAATAATATAAAAACAAAGATACTGACAAAATAAACCACGACTTAAATATCTATGAGGGCTGATTAGTGCAACACTACTGTCCATTCACTGATTTCCATTAGATGAGTCTGCTGTTTCATATTTAAATGCCAAAAACATGAATTAATTGTTAGAAAACGAGACAACGACAAGAATACAAAGAAATGACAATTACAGAAGACGTTTTACTATAATCTACTTTAATAAAAACAAATTCAGTTTAATTATCTTTGACACATATGTCTCCTCTTCGTCCCCTACGTCCCGTCGTCATCACCTACGTCTTGTTGTCGCCTACATCCTCTCAGCATCCTCAACGTTCCGTCACCTATGTCTCCTCTTCGTCCCCTACACCCCTCATCCTCGCCTACATCCCATCATTTACGTCCCTATGACCCGTTGGCTTCACCTACATCCCGTCACCTATGTCTCCTCGTCGTTGCCTACGTCCTGTCGTCATCACCTACGTCTTGTTGTCGCCTACGTCCCCAACGTCTCCTCATTTTATTTTGTTGTTCTTCCTATTTCCTGTTCTGACGACAGCTGGCCAGAACTTCTTGTGTTTGGTCTTTTCATCAGACCAGAGTTCTGCAGAAAGTCTGAACCACATGAGGCGTGAAAGGACTCTCAGTATCTGTCATGTGAAGAGTTTATAAATCCTTCAACTTTGTGACCTTGTGAATTTAACTGGTTATGATCTAAGTTTAAAAAAGACAGGTTTAAAGATGTCTCTGACATTTTTCATGGGAATCAAAAACATGAAGGTATTCCAGAAGACAAACAAGACATTACATTACAGTCAAGACGCCAAGGGACTTACAATAAGTGTATTTAACATCGGTATTCAAGAGAACTACTAGTCACCAGAAGTCATAAGTGCATCTCCTTTTTTTTAAAACAAGCATCTAAGAGCATAAACCAGAGCAAAAGTACAGTGCAGAAACAAACGAATACAAATACAATAAGTGCAACAAACTAATACGAATACAATAAGTTCTAAGTGGAAGGCTCGGGGTAGTACTTCTTGAAGAGGTGAGTCTTCAGCCTGATGAAAGATGGGCAGCGACTCTGCTGTCCTGACATCAGTGGGGAGTTCATTCCACCACTGTGGGGCCAGGACAGAAAACAGCCGTGACCGGGTCGATCGGCCGTAGGGACCTCTGAGCGACGGGGCAACCGATCGCCCCGAGGCAGCAGAGCGAAGTGGTTGGGCGGGGGTGTAGGGCTTGACCGTGGCCTGCAGATAGGAAGGAGCTGTTCCTTTCACTGCCCTGTAGGCTAGCACCAGAGTCTTAAACTGGATGCAAGCTCTTACAGGGAGCCAGTGTAGAAAACGGAGAAGGGAAGTTGTGTGGGAGAACTTGGGGCAATTGAACACCAGACGAGCTGCAGCTCGTCTGCAAGATGTAGTTATGTTGAGATTCATGAGATAACAGAACCAATGATCTGATATTTACTGCTCTCATTCTATCTGCAAATAGCAACCAAATAGATGAATAAATTATATTTCCTGGTTCCTTCGAATATAACTACAATCTTAACTACGAGCTGATTGTGTGACCTCAGACATACAGAATGGATTATTTCTAATTAACATGATTACATTTCTTCCATGTGCACATCAGATGAAGCGTTCATGATGCAGCTTCCTCTAACTGCAGTGAATTGTTCTGATCTTTCACTTCATATCTCCAGACAGATCATTACGGTGGATTATAATCTAATCTGATCATGTTTAGTGAGGATCAACACTGTCACTGCTCTTATGTAACATCCCATTCTGTGCTGCTTTCATAGCCTCATGCCATAACCTTAAATAGAAAGCTGAGATTTTCAGCAATCTGTTCCAGATCAAAGACCACGACATGGATCACTTCTTCTCGCAGAACTCGGTCACTTTAGTCACTTAGCACCTCATGAAAATAGTAAAATTACAGAAATGCTACTGAAAGAATTGGCATTTTGTGGCCACCAGAGGCAGCACTGAGCAGCACTCCATCGGTTGAAGGCTTGAAGCCTCTTGTTCAGAGGCTTCAGTGAGGTGGTTCCTTTAGTTTTGAAATTGCAACTTTTTAAACCTCTCCTCGTATCACCCAATCAGCTTGGTTGACACTCAGGTTTGGGCAACTGTTGGATTCGGTAGAATATTTGGTAAATAAACATCCAGGACGTTTGTAGTATGACGAGGCTGAATCAGAGTCCAGATCAAATATCCAAACACCTCCTGGTTAAATTGTCACTAAATCTTCTGTTGATGTTCATAGACCCCAGAGGATGAACCCCTTCAATTTGGGGATCTCTTCCTTGGTGTTGCCATCCGGCCAGACATTCCACTTGTAAGATGCTGTTCGTAATTAAGCTTACTGGTTAAAACTCCTTTTATAAAGCCTCGAAATTCTTCTGGTCATCTGAAATTCATATAACCGTAGTTACACCCGTGACTTTCATTTGGAGATGCAATTTATACATTTTGTTTACATGGTTTTGAATGCAAACAGTGGACGAGTTCAAGCTGAAACAAGGTGTTAAGTTGTGTTAAGATATAATAAAGTGTGACTTTGGTGACCTCTACTGGTAGAAACAGAAAAGACACGAACACACAACGACGCACATGGTTAGAAGAACTCAACATGAAGATGAAGGAGCTGAAACACTTGAACTATTCAATAAATATGAAATGATGGTTTTAAGTACAGTTTCCTGAGTTTCCCACATGTGGGAGCAAACAACAGTCAGTCAGACAAACACTGCGGCAGCAGCGCCGGGTTCTGACACGTGTTGAAATATCATGAAATGTGTTCCAGCTGTCACCTCCGACAACCAAAACCAGATCACTGAAAACCAGAAAACCAGCAGACTCTTTCAGAGGGTCTTATCTCTCAGACTCTCAATGTTTCTGAATGGAAATCATTTGTGGGAGAAATGTTGACTCAAGCATCTCACATGTTGGGAGATTTATGTGTAATTGAAGAGTTTTTCTTTATACATCCCAGTACCATGTGAACACTGTTTAGAAACATGATTAATGTTACTTACATTTGAGCCAGTAGATTTCACACAAAGACAGCTTTTTTATTTGAGCGAGTTAAACAATAGCTGATTGATCTAATTTTAAACTGGTCGAAAGCAGGTTTCTCTACGGAATGCAGAGACGTTTTAATTAGTTTGTCTTTTTAAAGGGCAACCGGTTTGTACCAGTTGAGAGTTACGGTTCTACCGGCATGTAAACCAAACAGCCTTCAACACGTACCAACTTCTGACGGATCACATTCATTTCAATAAACTAATTTTAGTTTAGTTCGTGACCCGGCCGCCATGTTTAAATCAGTCGAGCCAAAAAACAAGCCCCGCCCACCGGCCAGAGCAAACTGGACCGTTTTGGGTTTCATCCAGTCGTCAACCTCTGGTTCTTTGAGTGAAGTCAGTCCGTCATGTGTTAAAGCTGCATTCTCTCTAGTGTCCACCAGGGGGCGACTCCTCTGGTTGTATAGAAGTCTATGAGAAAATGACTTCTCTCTTGATTTATTACCTCAGTAAACATTGTAAACATGAGTTTATGGTCTCAATCTCTAGTTTCAAGTCTTCTTCAATACAGCATGATGTTCCTTTAGTACATTATGGTCCATTTAGAGTCACACAGACCATAAAGCAGGGGATGCTTTAGGGCGGGGCCACACGGTGATTGACAGGTCTCTAATAGACCATAAAGCAGGGGATGCTTTAGGGCGGGGCTACACAGTGATTGACAGGTCTCTAATAGACCGTAAAGCAGGGTATGCTTTAGGGCGGGGCTACACGGTGATTGACAGGTCTCTAATAGACCGTAAAGCAGGGTATGCTTTAGGGGCGGGGCTACACAGTGATTGACAGGTCTCTAATAGACCGTAAAGCAGGGTATGCTTTCGGGCGGGGCTACACGGTGATTGACAGGTCTCTAATAGACCGTAAATCAGGGTATGCTTTAGGGGCGGGGCTACACAGTGATTGACAGGTCTCTAATAGACCGTAAAGCAGGGTATGCTTTAGGGGCGACACAGTGATTGACAGGTCAGGACAGAGGTTAGTCCAAATATAGTAACTTCCTGTTCACTGATGGCGACGGTGACATCGCCAAACTCGAGGCTTCAAAACATCCCCAAACAAACGAGACGTCAACATGATGACGTCCACTTCTTAAATACAGTCTGTGGTTTGATCACACCAATACCTTTTGTTTTTAATGAAGTAACAAAAGACATGAATTTTCTGGTGTCTGGTGAACCCTTTCACATCACAGTCATTTGATCTGATGGTATTATGTATTGATATTAATATTGATTATATATTTACATTGATATTAATTATAGCTGCTTTA